TGTGAATGGAAAACAGAGGCTCAGCCTTAGTCACTAGGATAGCTTAGCATTAGTTTTTCTATTTGGAATTATTTCAAGAGAATTCGGAGTTTAGTGAATAACACTGTAAGATTTCTTGGTGGGTTGATCTGGAACTTGTTTCACTCATATTTACAGTAATCGGAAAAAGGAGGATTAGAAAGGACAGTATTTTATTTTAATAAGGGGATAAGGTACTTCTTGCCTCAGATTTTATAAAAAGAGCAGAGGCTATTTAGTTCACAGGTCGGAGGAAGAGACGGGGTGGGAGAGGGGTAATTGCTAATCTCCCTTTGGTTATTCTTAGGGTCCAGGTAATGCCATATTTGTTTGGTTTTGGTTTTTAATCTCCCATTAATTTTGCATTGGCTTATTAATCAACAATGTTACAAGTCATTTGGCTTCTCTATGGTGAGAATGACTGCAGGTTGTTCTCTGTTTGCTATCTCGCTACACATCTTAACCATCTCTTGCATGAACTTCCAAGTAGTCAATGCCCCCCGAATGATCTGAATTGGGATCAAGAAACCTGAGATACAAGATTAGACTAAATACTGTTTAATTTCCTCAACAGAGGAGATTACTCACGCTAAACAACCTACTAAGAGTGATTTACTGATATCCAAAAGTTCACATATACTTTTACCAATAACAGACAGATTTTTGCTACAAAACTTGTACCCACACCAAGCATCTTCACGTAGAGAGTCAGGGGTAAGGTTCATGTATAAAAACTGTTCTGCTCACTTTTTAGAGGATTTGACGTTTTCCCATTCAATCTATTATTTTTGCCAAAATATATCTTACCGTGCCTCCTCTGTCATTTTATTTTCTTGTTATATTTTGGTTCAATACATTTTTCACTTCCATTGTATAAAACACCAGTATGTCTTTTCTTTCTGTTTAATAATTCTGGCACTGTCAGAATGGTGTTTTTTTTGAGTCAGCTAAGTACAAATTTTACTTTCTAGACCTACTGACCATATCAGTGTTGACATGTTAGTTGCAAGATATTTCTTGTTGTTAAAAGGATAGGTATTTGGTTTTGAATTTGCAATTGCCCAAAATTGGTTATCCTATGACTTCTAAGTAATTTGAATTAGATGTGATTCAGTGCCAGTAAAACCTGTAATTCAGAGGTGACTTATAAAAGTTATGAATACGTACAGCAACCCAAGTTCTGTATAATTCTCCTAACCTAAAACACTTTGAATGCACTCTTCAGATGTGTTGTTTGAGTTCACAGTAAAACGCTTACAGGCAGTGATCTGCATCTCAGTAAATTTGGCACACAATTCTTTTAATCAGTAAGAAAATCCTAACTAGGCAACCACAGGTATTTTCCACAAAGCCCCACGAGACATCAACAGTGTTTTATTTTTTTAAGCATTTCATATTTGTTTTTAATTTATTTGTGAGATGTTAACATGTTGAATAATCCATCAGTTACATTAAAGTAAAACAAGTTCAAACCGCAGGGACGATATTGTCCTAAATATCCTGCCCTTGTAATTTATTAGAGATTATATGAAAAACAGTAAACTAAAACAAATAACCTTTGACGTGCAAAAAATAAATAAAATATAGCCGGCATACAGATGTATGCATATTCTAATGAGTACCCCTGGAACTATCAAAATCGTATTCCGCTAGAAATGTATTTAAAGAACTAGTAACAAGCCTTTTCCCATCAACTGCCCCTGCTCTGAGCTAGGGAAAACATTCTGGTAAAGTTATGGCTTTGCCTTGTTTTTATTTCACTAGTGTTTTTTCCTGTTTTCACTTTATTAAAATTATTTTTCATGTTTTTTATCTGAAAATAAAGACTTCAGATGGTCACAGTTTTATATCTAAGGTCTTAAAATGGATTAATAAAATGATCTTAGTGTGTGTTTCTGTTGCGGATTAATGGAAGGTACGTACCTTTTTTATGAATGGGGAGCTACTTGTTGGCTTAGAACGTCAACAGACCACTCAGCGTAGCAGGCTGTGCTCCCTGGGTCAGAATTAGAGCGAGGGGATGTGAATGGTTACAGAGAGAAACAACGCTGGAGAGTCATCTTAGGATCAACATATAGTTGTTATGGTGCCCATTGTGTTTCTCAAACAGCATTACTGCTGTGGACCTCAGTAATACACTCAGACATGCTAACAATATGGAATTGCTTTAAAAGAGGGCCATTAGGCCAGAAAGGTGGGGAAGAGGATTTAGGCCCAGAATTGGGACTGTCCCTCCAAAATAGGGACAGTTGGAAGGTATTCTGTAACAGACTTGGAGGCAAGTTGCGCCAACAGTAATGAATTGATTGGGAAGGATCTCAAGAAGAGAAGGTTAATTTCTAAATGTTTATTATTTTCATTTATATTGATTTAACTTTTTATAGTAGACCCTTAACCTAGATGTCACTCCATGGTGGAGAGAAACAGTAGGTTGCATAATGCCTTATTTTTTATCCTTTTATGACACGAGTACAAGAATGGTAATTTAAGATTGAGATAACAATGTTCTCATTATAGATTTGACCATAGCAATGGCAGTTGTAAAAATCGTTGATATAGGCCTCTATTTTATATTTTTGTATGTTTTTCAAACAATTTAATGTAAACTTAAAAACAAAAAAAATATATATTTTTAAAAGCTTAAAGGAACATTATAGGGTCAGGAACACAAACATGTATTCCTGACCCTATAGTATTCAAAACACCTTCTAGCCGCCCAGGGCCTCATCTTGCACCCCTAAATATAATACAAATCTTACCTTTATTTCAGGCTGCTGCTGCTGGCTCTGCCCCTGATCTGCCTGCTTGCCTGACATCTTTAGAAGTATTTATCAAAGCCAATCACAATGCTTTGCATAGAAAGGCATTGGATTGGCTAAGCTTTTTAAGGAGGCAGATCAGGGGCAGAGCCAGTACAAGCCAAACACAGCACTGGCCAATCAGCATCTCCTCATAGAGATGCATAGAATCAATGCATCTCTATGAGAAAAATTCAATTAGTCAATGCAGAGGGTGGAGACACTCGGTGGCAGTGTTGCACACTGTGCAGCACTGCCCCAAGAAGCATCTCTAGTAGTCATATGAGGAGTGGCCAGTGGAGTTATCACTAGGCTGTAATGTTAACACTGCATTTTCTCTGAAAGGACAGTGTTTATTGCAAAAAGCCTGAAGGGAATGATTCTACTCACCAGAACAAATTCAATAAGCTGTAGTAGTTCTGGAGACTATAGTGTCCCTTTAATCAGGCCACAATCAGACATTACTGTTTGTCTTATTTTAAGGTAAGGAGGTACAGATATTAACAGTTTACATTAATGGAGAGAGAAAAAGTAGCTGAGGGTATATAATTAACATTTCATAACTAGCGATAGGGTTTGACAGAAATGCAGTAACTCCTGATAAACTACATTAAAGTCTAATTGCCACAAGTAAACAAGGGAAATTGAGAAATTAAATATCTACAAACAGTTCAGCCAATCTTGTTTTAAAAAAATTTCTTAATACAAAAATATCTATAAAAAAAAACAAGTCAGTTGTCATAAACTGCACAGTAATGAATGCCAAGATTATAAAAGTATAATAACAAACACAACATTAAGTTGTTATTTCACAATCTTTTACAATTTTAAAAATGTAATATTAATATATAATGATAAAGAAATGTGGCTTACGTCCGCCTAAAAATTAAACCTGGCTTGCAAATAGAAAATGCTGCTATTTACACATTGTTCTGCTTTTAAATTGGGAGTAATTATATTATGTCTTGTCAAATAACATTGTTAAATGCCTGCAAATCATTATGTTTGCATATAAGGAGTGACCAGAAAAACCACTCCAAAAGTGACTGTTTCCCCTTCCACCAGTCGAAAATACTAGAGATGTGCATGGGCAAAAAATTTGGTTCGGTTCGGAAATTCGAGTAAGTAAAAAATGTTGTCTGCTTCAGCAATTTGGACTAATAGCATTCGGTTCAGCACTTCCAAACTACCGAACTTCGGCAATTCGGAACTTCAGTAATTTGGAACTTCAGCACTTCGGACATTCGTAAGCATCCGAATGTCTGAATTGCATTAAACAAATTGCACATGTCTAGTAAGTGGTTGTGTTGGCACTCTGGGCACTGGGAGCCCTATAGATGTGTAACTGGTTGTGGTGGCAATCCTGGCACTGGGAGCCCTACAGATGTGTAAGTGGTTTTGGTGTTGATACATAAGCATTCGAATGTCCGAATTGCACGAAATTCATCCGAATGTATATTCAGAACGAAACGAATTGCACATGTCTAAAAAAATACATAAAAACTCACAGAAAAGAGATGCACTTGTGGATAATACATATCGAAACCTGTGCCCAGAGCTAAAAAAACCTAATGGCATGCATATTAAAGAAGAAATAAAACAATAATAGTGCAGTATCTATAAAAAATGCCAGAGAAATAATAAATACGAATATTAAAATAAATACAATATAGTAAAGCACGGCTTGCACTCACAGTCTTTTGAAGATAAAAAATATTCCTTTATTAGAGGTTATTCCATAAAATTATCAACGTTTCAGCCCTCGTTCTTGGCTTTCCTCAGGATCAACCATTAAAATAAATAGATATGTATCACACTTCTGCAAAATGTATATCAGAAAGATATCCATCATTGCACAAGTGAGTATACTATATGAAACTAACAGTGTAGAAATACAATAGAATGTGTAATGTAAAAATCAATAAACATATAGAAATATGTCAGATGCATCAAAAATGTAAACAGAGTTGTGTAACAAATAAATTAAACAATGTATGTAGAAAATTTTTTAGGAAAAATGTATCCGTTGAAATTCCAAGATTTTACTAGTAACATGACGTAAAGTCATGATTTTATTAATGACACGGAGGCGAGTATTATGCTTTCTCTTTCTTTTATTATTCTCCTCAGCAGCAAGAATTTAACTTGAAAGAGAATAAAAACGAAATAGCATAAGTAATCTGCCTAGTAACAGGGCAGCCAATCATATACATTTATCAACATTAAGTGTCTTGAACAGTCTTCTAACTTCCTCTTTCTTGTCTGTGTCGACGAAAAGCCGTCGTAACTTTCCATAACTTCCGATATTCCACCCAGTCTGTGTCCAGTACGTTACGCTGTGGAAACAAAGAGAATGTACGATAAAATCCAAACTTTGGAACTGTATGTTATCCTTATTCCTTATGTTCCTTACAATCGATATAACCAACTGATAAAACAAGTTATGTGTGTACATAAAAAGGATGGTGTACATGCCCTTGAAATTCCTTGTTACTTACCTTTGCGAGAGTCTTAAGACTCTCCTTATGGACTGTCTCACGCCCACCGGGTGGGTGGGTGGGGATAATACTCGCCTCCGTGTCATTAATAAAATCATGACTTTACGTCATGTTACTAGTAAAATCTTGGAATTTTATTAATGACACGGAGGCTTATATTATGCTAGTTCAAAGCTTGGCCACTACCTGAAGAGAGATATGTTCAATTGGCCGAAAATAGAATTCTCTGAACGTCGATACTTGTGACCAATCAGCGGCCTTTAATATGTCCTCGAGGCGACAACCAATCGTTGACGCCTTGGATGCCATCGCGCCTCGAATGTGCAGAGAATTTCGAAGTGTCAATTCCTGTTAATGCTAACAGGTTCTTGACCCAACGAGCTAACGTGGGCGTGGACACTGGTAGAAAAGGGGTTCGAAAGGATATAAATAATTGACTTGATGCAGGTGAGCGTAACTTCTGAGTACGATCCAGGTAGGACCGAAGGCATCTGACCGGACAAAGTGAGGGATGTCCCGGGTATCTCGGGTAAGAGATAGATTTTGTATTGCCTTTAGTTCGTCTCGATATGGAGAATGACACTCCCTCTGGGGTGAATGATAATGCGTCCCAGTCCAATGCTCGCACGTCCGATATCCTCTTGCAGGATAGTAAGCATAACAGAGTCAGCAGTTTCCAAGACAGGTGTTTAAAGGAGAGTTCCTCATTTGGCCTCCATTCTTCCAAGAAGTGTAAGACAATGTTGACATCCCAGAATGAAGAATAGCGGGTCTGTGGAGGTTTCTCAAAGCGTATCCCCTTCAGGAGTCTACAAACGAAAGGATGCTGACCGATCGGGGAGCCTTCCAGGTTTCGGTGTCCTGCCGAGATCGCCGACCTGTACACGTTAATGGTACGATACGCTCTTCCTTCTTCGAAAAGGGACGTCAAAAACTCCAGTACTTCTTTCAGAGGTGCTGAAACCGGATCCACTGACCGTTCCATGCACCAGCTAGCCCACACTCGCCAAGCAGAGTTATAGGCTGCTCTGGTCCCTGGAGCCCAGGAGTTATCCATGAGTCTTGTAACCGTCTGTGGAATGTCTGTGAACGTCCAGGGACTCCGGAAATCAACCAGACCGTGAGTTGCAGCAAGCCCTGATTGATCAGGTTGTGCGGATTCCCCTCTGGATCCAATAGCAAGTCTGGTGTTGATGGTATTACTCGTGGAGAGTCGATTGCCATTTCTAGTAGACGAGGAAACCACGGCTGAGCATGCCATAGTGGAACCACTATCACTAGTGAACAGTCCTGTGTGCATAGGTATGATAGTGTCCTGGAAATGAGATTGAAAGGGGGAAATGCGTAATGTCGAGACTTCGGCCACGTCTGCAGGAAAGCATCCGTCCCCGAGGCTGTTGGATCTGGTCGCCAGCTGAAGTATCGAGGCAGATGACTGTTCAGTCTGGATGCAAAAAGGTCTACATCCAGTGGTCCCCACAATTCGTCTATTTGGCAAAAGGTAGAGCGGAGAAGGCGCCAGTCTCCCGGATCTCTCAGATATCTGGAATTCCAGTCCGCTTGTACGTTGTCCAAGCCCGGAATGTGTTCCGCTGTCACCGCAATCTCGTTCCGAAGGCAAAACTGCCAAAATTCTTTCGCTAGGTTTGCTAGTCGTTTAGATTTGGTGCCTCCTAGATGATTGATATAACGGACTGCCGAGATGTTGTCCATACGGAGCAGTATACAACATCTCCCTACCGTAGGGGAGAGACTGCGGATGGCGAACGATCCTGCCAGAAGTTCCAGGCAATTTATGTGCATTGTGGATTCCTCCATGGACCATCTGCCACCGGTGGATATGTTGCCACAACGCGCGCCCCAGCCATGGAGGCTTGCATCCGATTCTATAATCAGGTCCAGGCTGGTTCCAGATATTGCTCGGCCGTTCCACGCCTCCATATGGTCTAGCCACCACCTCAGCTCCTCCCGTGATTCCACATCCAGGACTAGTGCGGATTCGTATGAACGGCCGGACCTGAGGTGAGAACCTTTTAGCCGCTGTAGGGCACGATAGTGTAGAGGCCCTGGGAAGATGGCTTGTATCGAGGAAGCCAGTAGTCCTAAGACTCGAGCTAGTTGTCGAATAGAGAGAGATTGAGCTCGTAATGTGCGCCTGATCTCTTTTTTGATGGCCTTCAATTTCGTTTCCGGGAGGAGTAAGAATTGTGAGATTGCGTCGATCCGGAATCCCAGGAACTCTATCTTTTGGGCCGGATTGGTTATGGATTTTTCCCAATTTATCAAAAAACCCAGAGTCTCGAGTAACGTGATGGTCCACTGTAGGTGGAGCAGTACTTGGTCTTGTGAGGATGCCATGATTAAAATATCGTCCAGATATATGATCAGATGAACTCCTCGTGCTCTGAGAAAGGCTACCACAGGCTTCATGAGTTTTGTGAAGCACCAGGGGGCTGATGAGAGACCGAAGGGCAGACATGTAAATCTCCAACGTCGCCCTTGCCATGTGAAATGCAAGAGGTCCCAGTGTGCCTCCGCAATAGGGACGGTGAGGTACGCGTCCTTGAGGTCCAATTTGACCATCCAATCTCCCTGTTGTAGTAAATCCCTGAGGCAATGAATGCCCTCCATTTTGAAGTGTTGGTATGCGAGGAACGCATTGAGTTCCTTTAAGTTTATGACTGGCCGCATACCTCCGCCTTTTTTGGCTACCAAAAATAAGTTGCTGGTAAAACCTAGTGTATCGTATGGGATCTCTTGGATTGCCCGTTTGGCATGGAGATCTGTAATCTCCTTTGTTATGAGTTTGGTTTGGTCTGGGGCCAGTGTCAGTTCTCTTGGGGCATGGATTTGGAATGGGGTAGATAAAAGGTCGAGATAGAAACCCCTGACGGTTTGTAACACCCAAGCGTCTTTTGTGAGCTCGTCCCATGCATGCGCAAACAGCGCGAGCCTGCCCCCTATGTGTAGATGTGGAGGAATAGAGATATTGCACTTACCGTAAGGTCGCCTGTAAGTAGATTGCCTGCGGCTTCCCCGAGAAGGCCATGGACGTCCCCTGGACGGAAAGAAGGGTGACGGCCGGAACTCCTGGTACGTGCGGGGCGCTCCGAAGGAGCCTCTATGGACCCTGGAGGGGCCCCGATAGACTCGGCCGGGTGGACGGCTCCTAGATCTCCCGGCCCCGTGCAAAACCTTGGGGTTAAACACTCTCTTAAGGTTGGCCTGAGCCTTATCTAAAGTGGTAAAAGTTTTGACAAAAGCCCCGATGTCCTTGACAAAGGACTCTCCAAATAACATTCCCTGGGCTGTGGGTCCAGGTTCTCTATTTGCCAAGTTAATCAACTTAGGTTCAATCTTAAGTAGAATTGATTTACGGCGTTCCGCCGAGATGGCTGTGTTGGCATTACCCAACAAGCAGATAAGCCGTTGGACCCATCCGATGGCTACATCGAAATCAATGGTGGACTCTCCCGCTTTAGCGGATTCGAGTAATTCATATAATTTTGTGGTTGGCCCCAGGGTGTCTAGTATTTTGTCTTGACAGCTGTGGAGTGAGAACTCCAGCCCCTTCTTGGGCTTCCAGCCAGATTTTGAGAGGAATTGGGCGATATGTGGGTCCACCATGGGGGTTTTGCAGGCCATGTCTGGTACGGAGGGTCTGGGACACTCTGCTCGGAGTTTATTCCTACTCTCGTTAGAGAGAGGGGTACGCAGACGGAGCGCCAAATACTGCGCAATGTGCGTTGGTGGGTCCCACTCCGCCGAGCGAGGGTGGCGGAGGTTGTCCGGGTCGAACAGGGGATACCCTTGAGGGTCCCGAACACCATCCTACACACCCGTCGGTTCCACTACAGGACTAGACTCCTCATCTGAGTCGGAAGCCATAGCATTGTAAATATAATCCGGGTCGTCTGACCCCATCTCCTCACTATTGTCAGAATCTGACTCTTCGTATTGGGCACGTGCCCGTTTCCAATTTCTGGCCGCTTGCGCCCGACCAGTGGCTCTTGTGCGTGGCAACACGCTATCTAGGACCGCCATAGGCGGGTCAGTCATGGCAGGGGAGACCTGCATCAGTGGGAGCGTTGATGTATGCTTAGTCTTGGCTTTTGCCTTGTGGGCCGCAGGGACTGGTATATCAGTTTGGGCCGTTATAGTAGGTTGCACTTCAGGGGGCAACATGAGTGCCTGGGCCAGAGAATGGGATAGGGAGGTGGACACCGAGCCCATGGCTGAAGCCAAGGCTCGCTGGACCAAACCGGCCATAGTTGATTCCAGGAGAGACTGGAATTCCTGAGAGGGTAAATGACCCGGGTCTAGGCCAGGGGTGGGTAAGGTATTCTCTATATTAGGGCATCCAGGGCCCCCATGTCCATCCCCGTGATTTTGCATTGTATTATCCAATTCACCAATGGGAATGACTGAATAGGTGTGCAACCAATGGAAATGACTGAATGGGAATGACTGAATAGGTGTGCTAGGCAGGGAGCAACAGGTCTGGATAAATCCCACAGGGTTATCCTTTATTATTATTTTTTATTTTTTTTTGAGTTACTATCAGTAATGTCTGTAACAAACAAAATCTTTTTTTTTTTTTTTTTTATTGGGAGAGATGTCTTTAAATTAACCCAGAAACAAACCCCCAGCACACAGTCAGTTACAGACTAAAGTGCAGAAAAAAACTTTTACAGGGTACAAACAAACAAACAAAGAGAAGGGTAGTGAGAAAAAGGGTTGATTAACCCTTAGAAGCAAATATGGGAAATAGAAACCGTACAACCTTGCCCACGGAGAGCAGCAGGAGCAACTAGGAGCCGTTCAGCCTTCCCGCGCTTCAGAGAAGAGAAGCGCGCCGAAGGCGAACTTGCTCCACCCCCCCTCCAGTAATGGCCGCGAGGAGAGAGCTCTCCGCGGCCTCAGACCGCCGGGCGGAAGTAAACCCGGCAGGGGAAAAGAGGGAGATAGAGCTGCTCGGCACCCGCTGGGATGTCTAAGCGGGTGCCGGCAATTACACAGAAGGAAGGGAGGGAGGGCACTAGTGAGACCGCAGACGCACGGGCGGTGCGGTCTCACAGCCTGTCAGACCCCTCTCAGCCCTGGCAGTTAGTGAAAGCCAGGGAGAGAGGGAAAGTGTCTGAGCCTAAGCAGAGCTAAGCACTGTAATACTGACCCTGAAACAGGGACAACATAGAAATGAACAAACAGGAAACATTAAAACCAACAACATTTAAAGTGATATTAACAAAAAAATTATGTGTGTAATCAGGGCTCGAGTCCTGCAGGAACGCATGGGAACGGCGTTCCTGCACTTTTTCCAAAGCAGGAACGCCGTTCCCGTTACCTGTCCTGCAGGACCGGCCCTGCTACCTGCACAGAGGGGCCATCACACGCTGTGTTCCTTCTCCAGCTATAAATCTCGCGAGACCCGCGGCTGTTACCATGGCAACGCTCCGCACAGGCGAGTCTCGCGAGAGTTAGAGCTGGAGAGGGAACACAGTGTGTGATGGCCCCTCTGTGCAGCGAGCGGCTGGCTCCCTCCATCGGACCACCAGGCTATCTCCCCCCTCCCTAACAAGGTAAGAAGCAGGGAGGGGGGAATAAAATAAACAAATATACATACACATAAAGTAAGAAAAAAATGCTTCCCCCCCCCACACATCATCCAGCACACACACACCCATCATCCAGCACTCACACACCAATCATCCAGCACACACACACCCATCATCCAGCACTCACACACCCATCATCCAGCACACACACACCCATCATCCAGCACTCACACACCCATCATCCAGCACACACACACCCATCATCCAGCACTCACACACCCATCATCCAGCACTCACACACCCATCATCCAGCACACACACACCCATCATCCAGCACACACACACCCATCATCCAGCACTCACACACCCATCATCCAGCACTCACACACACACCATCCAGCACTCACACACACATCATCCAGCACACACACACACATCATCCAGCACTCACACACACATCATCCAGCACTCACACACACATCATCCAGCACACACACACACACACACACACACATCATCCAGCACACACACACACATCATCCAGCACACACACGCACATCATCCAGCACTCACACGCACATCATCCAGCACTCACACGCACATCATCCAGCACTCACACACACATCATCCAGCACACACACACACATCATCCAGCACACACACACACATCATCCAGCACACGCACACACTGCATTCATTATACACACTCTTCACTCACTACAAACACACTACATTCACTATACACTCACTACAAACACACTTTTGAACCCCCCCCCACACACACACCCTGCACTCCCCCCATACACACACACTGCTCCCCCATACACAAATACACTATCCCCCAAACACAAACACTGGCCCCCAATCACACACACTGTCCATCAAACACACAATTACTGGGATTGTACAGTATTTGTATTTTTAGTGGTCATATCTTGGGATATGTGTGAGAACATATCTCAAATTGAAGGGGAAAACGTCTTTAAATATTTAACTCAACGTTCTAAAATTTATAATGCTCAATAAGCTCATTTTAAGCAAAAGAAGAATACAAGGCTACTTTGCTATGGACTTTCTTTATAAATTTAAAGGGACACTATAGTCAGAACAACTACAGCTTATTGAATTTGTTCCGGTGAGTAGAATCATTACCTTTTTGCTGTAAGCCCTGTCTTTTCAGAGAAAATGCATTACAGCCTAGTGATAACTTCACTGGCCACTCCTTGGATTGCTGTTAGAGATCCTTCCTAGGTCATTGCTGCCTAAAAAGCATCACAACATTTAGTGTCTCCTCCCTCTGCATGCAGACACTGAACTTTTCCTCATAGAGATTAATTGATTTAATTCATGATTCAATTCATCTCTATGAGGAGATGCTGATTGGTCAGGGCTGTGTTTGAACTGTGCTGGCTCTGCCCCTGATCTGCCTCCTTGTCAGTCTCAGCCAATCCTATGGGGAAGCATTGTGATTGGATCAGGCCACCACTTCTGATGATGTCAGCAGACAGCTTGCTATTCTGAGGCAAACAGCTTGCAGAGCTACAGCTTCAGGCTTGAATACAAGTAAGATTTTGCTATTTTTAGGGAGGCATGAGGGGCCCAGGGGGGTTAGATGGTGGTTTTAACACTATAGGGTCAGGAATACATGTTTGTGTTCCTGACCCTATAGTGTTCCTTTAAATAGAAAAAAGGAAGATTTAGCTTTTTCTGTGAATATTTATAAAAAGTCTACTTATAAAGAATAATTACATGTTCATCAAATAATGTGGTTAATCTCGGATATTAGATTTTATTGTTTTTTTGTTGTTGTTGTTTTACAGACGTATTAAAGTAACTACAAAGACAGTTTTCTTTAAGTCCATTAACATTTAAGCCAACATTCCAGTCCAGGTTCCTTACTCAATAAAATTCAGATTAGTCAAATTTTGCCTTTACATGCTGTAACCTTAGCCAAATAAAATAATAATAAAAAAATGAAATAAAAGCAAATACTCTAGAATTACAAGACACTATACATGCTTGATATAAAAATGCATTTCTCTCTGGAGACATCTAAAGGATTCAATTTCACACGACAGTTTAAGTTTCTCTTTGAGTTCTTGTTGAGTACGGCATCCATCGCAGATCTGGAAAGTACAGTAGAAGCAGTTAAATGCAAATCTATAAAAATGATCCTTTTAGCTAAAACATTTCAACTGAACATGAGTACTTAACAGTTCTCACCAGTCATAGGAAATGAATGTGAATTAATGAATCATTATTACTTAATTCTATTTTCACGGGGTTCATTAATATTGTTGTAAATATGACCCTTCACTGAAATTAGTAGTCATATTAAGTTCTGAGGTTACATTAACACTCATTTGTTTCTATTTAAATGTTATTTCCCTTTCTCATTATTTACGGATAGCACATTAACCCCTTAAGGACACAACTTCAGAAATAAAAGGGAATCATGACGGAATATTTCCGTCACGTGTCCTTAACCCCTTAAGGACACATGACATGTGTGACATGACATGATTCCATTTAATTCCAGAAGTTTGGTCCTTAAGGGGTTAAGGGGTTAAGTTCCTATTTGGTATATATTTTGTGATTCCCTGTATGATGAACTATGTTGGGGACTATCCATTTTCAGAATGTTTGATTTGGATTAGTTTTGACTTTTTTATACCCATTTGTGCTTGTTTCTGATATGGGTCATGTTTAAATGGATGCTATCTGATACAGAATCTAGATTTTAAATGAATAGTTGACTCAAGTTCCTTAAAATAACATATTGCATAGGCCACATGTTATATTGCTTAACACATTGTTCCTTGGCTGGGCTGGAAAATTTGATCTGGAAAAGAAACCAAATACAGAATAATTACACACTTAAAAAATAAAATAAAAAAATTTGTCAAGAAAAGTAAGTCTCGAACTTTCTGCAACCAAAAAGCAAATATACATTAAAGTGACACAATGACAAAGAAAGAAATAAAACAAACTAAACACACGTGTAGAAAACCTATGCCTCTCTGAAAATGTATTGACTGAAAGTTTTAGTACTGTCTATGTCAGCTGTCATCGGGTATTTTGCCTAAATTTATTCAGGGACCCCTCATTACTAGTTTATTATAGACTAGTGAGGATATTTCCAACTGGCTGGGGAGATTTTTTCCTTATTCCCATTTTTGTGTTCATGTCATGTCTTTGAGGGTTTTATGCCCGGACATTTCTAGTGATGTCCCACTTGCACAAGACCTTAAAGGGACACTATAGTCACCAGAACAGCTACAGCTTATTGGATTCGTTCTGGTGAGTAGAATCATTAACTTCAGGCTTTTTGCTATAAACACTGTCTTTTCAGAGAAAATGCAGTGTTTACATTACAGCCTAGTGATAACTTCACTGGCCACTCCTCAGATGGCTGTTAGAGATCCTTCCTGGGTCATGGCTGCCTAAAATGCATCCAAACATTCAGTGTCTCCTCCCTCTGCATGCAGACACTGAACTTCCCTCATAGAGATTCATTGATTCAATTCATCTCTATGAGGAGATGCTGATTGGCCAGGGCTGTGTTTGAATCATGCTGGCTCTGCCCCTGATCTGCCTCTTTGTCAGTCTCAGCCAATCCTATGGGGAAGCATTGTGCTTGGATCAGGCAACCACTTCTGATGATGTCAGCAGGCAGTGGGCAGGTCAAAAGAAACAGTGACAAAGCAAGCAGCTCCAGACTTGAATACAAGTAAGATTTTACTATATTTAGGGAGGCATTAGGGGACCAGGGTGGCTAGATGGTGGTTTTAACCCTATAGGGTCTGGAATACATGTTTGTGTTCCTGACCCTATAGTGCTCCTTTAAGTTCTCAAGTCTTGCTTACTAGTTAATGATTTGCCCTATTCTAAGTTGTTGTACTTTTGTTTCCATTTGCCAGATTTATGAATTATACATAGCAAAAATGATACATTGTTGTAGTGTGCTAAAGCCAAATGTTTTTTAAAGCGGCACTGTCATGCCGAACCCCGTTTTTTTTTTTTAAACCCCCCCTCCCGCCTCCACTACATCCAATTGACCCACTAGTCACCCCCAAATACCCCTAAGCCCCCCAGATTACCTCTTTTTAAATCTTTATTTTCTGCCCCGATCTATATTCAGGGCGCTGCCATCTTTGTGTGAGTAGGTGAAGTCCCTGTGGGACACGTCATCAGCACACACTAGACAGACTGTGAGATTCCCGCACATGCCCAGTGAAACACCTGGACATGCGAACGGGAATTTCATCTATTCATTCATTCATCAGACAGACGAATGAGTGAATAGAAATATCAGCCGAACAAACAAACACTATGTATCAGTGTATGTTTGTTCGTGCAGGTTATTACAAGGAGGGAGCTACCGGCACGCCTGTGGCTGCTCACTGTTGAAAAAAAATTACATAAATTACAATAAGGGGGGGACAGACCTATTGTCCTCCCCCCCTCCCCCACCCTGAGCGGCGGGTGGGGGCCATGAAGATAATGAGGGGGGGGACCTACTGTCCTCCCCCCCGGCCCACACCTCTGAGCGGTGGGTGGGGGCCCTAATAAAACAATAAGGGGGGGGACCTACTGTCCCCTCCCCCTGGCCCCCACCCCTGCGCTGTGGGTGGGGGCCCTAATAAAACAATAAGGGGGGGTGGGGACCTACAGTCCTCCCCCCCTGGCCCCCACCCCTGCGCGGTGGGTGGGGGCCCTAATAAAACAATAAGGGGGGGAGCTACTGTCCTCCCCCCCTGGCCCCCACCCCTGCGCAGTGGGTGGGGGCCCTAATAAAACAATAAGGGGGGGGACCTACTGTCCTCCCCCCCTGGCCCCCACCCCTGAGCGGTGGGTGGGGGCCCTAATAATACAATAAGGGGGGGGACCTACTGTCCTCCCCCCGGCCCCCACCCACCGCTCAGGGGTGGGGGCCAGGGGGGGGACAGTAAGTAATCTTTACTTATAGTAATCTTTACTTAGTATTAGTAAATGTGGCTGAAAGACCAATTTAGGTCTTTCAGCCTTTTAGTAGATAGCTCCCTGATACCGTGGGAATTAGGGAGTTATCTACTAAGCGGCTGCAAGATGCAGCCGCGGCAATGAATAGGATCAGAGTTTCATTCATTAGAATGAAATTCCGATCCGAACAAAGTGCCGAATTGCGTTCTAAAAGAAACGAACATACTGTTCTCATTCAGTTAGAACGCAATTCGGCAGTTTCGTCTAAAATGACAGGAAGCATCTTGGGAACACAGAGGGAAGGTAAGGGTCATGGGAAAATTGCTCTGACCAGCGGAAATGAAGCACACTTTGCTCCTCCGCTGGTCAGAGCTGGTCAAGCGGAGGAATCCTCCATAAGGCAAAGAGTCCCTACTTTGTCTTATGATTTTAAAGAAAACTAAAGAAGACAGGAAGAAAAGAATAACAGATCCTGAGAGAGGGGGAGAAGAGGAAGAGATTGAGGAAAGGTAAGTTCGGCATGACAGTGCCGCTTTAAGTCAAGGGCAAACCTCTCATTGGATTTCTCACAGAAAAGCCATGGACTTTGCATCAAAAACATAAAGCTGAAGAAAATACATCCTCAATTACATGTAAAGTCTGTGATGACTTTACTACCAAATCTAAACAGTATGCATAGTTTGCAGAAAAACTGCCCAGATTAGAAAGGTTAGAAGATGCAAATGTTGTGCTTTTTACTACACTCAAAAGCAGAATGATTGAAGATGATGAACACTTTTCACAGAGGTTAATATCTAAATAAAACAGTGTGATGTAAAGGGATACTCTTAGCACCAAAACAATTTAAGTAGTTTTGGTATGTTGATCACATCCATGCTGTCGCATAGCAATATTCTCTGCAATTTTAGGATTCAAATTTACAGATTTTACTATTAACATGACGTAAAGTCATGATTTTATTAATGACACGGAGGCGAGTATTATGCTGCACTCTTTCTTTATTTACCTCAGCAGCAAAGAAAAATAACATTAAATCAGTATAAAAGAAACCAGTAAATAACATGAGGTATATCTTCATAGCAACAGGAACAGCCAATCAGCATCCTCTTTATAGCATAATAGGCAGTGTCCAGTATACTACTTCCTCTTTCTTGCGATCCCGAACAAGGACAACAAATCCAAATAAAAAGTGGGCTCCAATTAGAGGGTATACGAGCCTTAAACTGGATCTCGAAGTCAAGCTGGAAGAGAAAGGAGAATATGGTAATATCCAAGTATAAAACTGGATTTATGCATAAATTTGCATTACATGAAATATCATATATATATACATAACATGAAATTCAGTTTAGTCAAACCTTAAGCTCTTGACAGTCATTAACAAGGATAAAACCCAGTAATCAAAAAAGACTTACCGTGAAGTCAACTTACCCAGAGAAGACCAAACCTCCAGGGATGGGAGGGAGGGATAATACTCGCCTCCGTGTCATTAATAAAATCATGACTTTACGTCATGTTAATAGTAAAATCTGTAAATTTTATTAAGACACGGAGGCTCCTATTATGCTAGTTCAAAACTGTGAAATTAAGTCTCCTGTGAAGTGTTGAATAGGTCTAAAGTAGAAATCATGGAATGTTGACTCCGAAGACCAGCCGCTCTCAGAATATCCTCCAAGAGACAACCAATCGAGGAAGCCTTAGAAGCCATTGCCCTACGAACCGAATGAGGCACAGACACATAGGTATCAATACCTGTGAGAGACATAATGTATTTGACCCACCAGGCTAGAGTAGACACCGGAAGACGCGACTTTTGGAAGGAGATGAAGAGTTCCTGTTTCAAAGGATTCTGTAACGTAGTAGAACGATGTTCACACACCCATTAGTATGCAACAGGGCAAAGGAGAGATCTATCAGGGAAAACCGTGTAAGATAGATTTTAGAGGAGGTTTTTGTCCTCTGTGAAATGTCAAAGAGGACACCTTCTGGAGTAAAGGAACGAGCAACCACCTCACGAGCTCGTACGTCAGAAAAACCTCTTGCAAGAAAAAAAAAAAAATTCAAGACAATAGAGACGTCCCACAAGACAGAGTATCTTGGTAAGGGTGAATGAGCAAACCATATTCCTCAGAGAAGTCAATATATGACAGGATGTCAACCGGCAGGCGTCTAATCAAAACTTTGATGGCCAGCAGAAATGGACGATCGGTAAGGTCCACAGTGCAATAGGCTTTACCTTCATCATAGAAGTCAGAAAAATGGAGGACAGACATAAAAGGAGCCGATATGGGATTTAATTTAATGCACAAACTATGCCATCTGCTCCAGCCTGTCTCGTGTTGGGTGCACCCTTGATAAGTCGGGGAGTTGATTGCGAAACTCCCTTGACCGACCAAGGTTCCCTGAAATAGACTACACTATGAGATGCAAGAGACCTTGGAGAACAAGAGGATGAGGTACACCATCTGGATCCTGAAGAAGGCACTCGAGAGATGGAAGGTCGATAACCATCTCCTGAAGAGAAGAGAACTATGGTTGGGACGGCAATAGAGGAGCCACGATCAACAGGTGCCGGACTGGCGATGTAGATGGAAAGGCAAAAAATCATAATTCCTTGGAGAAAACATTCATAGCCAGTGCTATCGGATCTGGTCTCCAACTGAAAAAACGGGGAAGTTGAGCATTCAAACGAGAAGCGAAAAGATCTATTTCCAATAGACCCCATAGGTTCCAGATGTCTTGGAAGACCATGGAATCCAAGTGCCAGTCGCTGGAATCTCTGAGTTGGCGTGAATACCAGTCCGTCGTAGTGTTGGAGAGACCTTGAATATATTCTGCCGTGACTGAAATGCCGTGTCTCAGGCAAAATTGCCAGCAATCACGAGGCATGTAGGTCAGAATTTTGTATTTTGTGCCTCCAAGTGATTGATGTAGCGGACTGCTGACACGTTGTCCATCTTCAGAAGAATAGTGCATTGGGCTTGAATTGTGGAGAGACTATGGACTGCAAAGGAACCGGCCAGATGTTCCAAACAATTGATGTGGAGTGTTGATTCCAGGTTTTATTATCTGCCCTTGGTGGAAATAGTTCCGCATTGAGCACCCCAACCGTGCAAACTTGCGTCGGATTTGATTATCAAATCCTGAGCTGTACAAAATATGGTGTGCTTATTCCAAGCTTCCATGTGAAGAAGCCACCATTGGAGTTCATCCTCCGCTTCTGAGTCCAGAGTTACCATATCTGTGTATGATGCGCTGCCCTTGAGATGAAGTTTGTAATCGTTGTAGGGCTCGATAGCCAAGAAGACCTGTAGAAATGGCCTATATAGATGCCGCTAGAAGGCCTAACATTCTCAACAGTTTGAGAGAGAGTTGAGAGGTTGCTAGTGTTCGCCTATCTCCTTCTTTATATTGGCTAATTTTGCCACCGGAGGGTGTAGAGTTTGAAGGGTAGAATCTACAATAATCCAATATACCCCAGAAATTGTATTTGTTGCGTAGGAACGATAATGGATTTCTCCCAATTGGTCAGGAAGCCTAGGTTCTCTAACAGAGTCAAAGTCCATGCAAGGTATGTCCGGATTAATTGAATAGACTGAGCCAGAATGAAAATGCCATCTAAATATATTATAAGATGTGAGCTTGGTGAAGCACCATGGAGCCGAAGACAGTCCGAATGGGAGGCACCTGAACCTCTATTTACTGCCCTACCATGTAAATTGCATGAAGTTCTCGATCGTGATGTTGCACTGGGATAGGCACTGTGAGATATGCCTCCTGCAGATCCAATTTGGCCATCCAATCTGCTGGTTGGAGAAGATCCCTTAAACAATGCTCTCCTTCCATCTTGGAAGTGCTGATATGCTCATAACTATTGAGCAGTCTCAAATTTATCACTAGACGGATACCTTTGCCTTTTTTGGGAAACAAGAAAAGTTGCTCACGTAACCCAGGGTATGCGCCAGAATCACTACAATTGATTGTCCACAGAGACAAGGTCTTTGTCTCATTGGGAAAAAACAATTTCCCTTGATGGGGAACATTGAACAAGTAGAGAAAGGAAGTCTATTCAATACCCTTTCACAGTGTGAAGAACCTAAGCATCTGATGAAATGAGGGATCATACATGGGAAAAATGTGTGAGCCTGCCCCCTACTATCAGTAAGAAAGAATGGAAATTGTGAAGACGTCTTAGGAGCACCTCTTAGTCCACTAACAATCCAGGGTTGGCCACTTTGTGAGAAGAAGGTTGGTATAGTGCATTGTTCAAAGAAATCGGCTCGGCAAGTATAAGAGCCTTGGTTCTGTCTAAAAGAACTTCTGTTTGTTTAGCAGGACAAAGGAGCCTAATTCTTTTACAAAGTTGTCCCCAAAGAGAAAACCTTTTGCCTGTGTTATCTGGCTCGTTCAGAGCCATAGTTAAATGTTTGGGCTCAATCTTGAGCAAGATCGATTTGTGGCGTTCTGTGACAACCGCATTGTTGGTGTTGCCAACTTAAATCACTCTCTGGATCTAACCACTTAAGATGGCGCAATCTAATTCTAGATCATCCTCCACTGCTTCAAAGATCTTGGCTGCTGAGCCCAAGATGCCCAGGATTTTATCCTGACAGTTTTGCAATGAAAATCTAAGCCTTTAGATGGCTTCCATCCTGTCTTACTCAGGAATTGAATGATTTTAGGATTGACTGATAGCGTTTAACATGAGTCATCAGGGACTGTTCGGCGTGGCCATTCAGCCCGCAATTTATTTCACTTTGCCTTCTCAAAAGGCTTGCGTACTCTGGATGCAATATACTTGGCTACATGGTCTGAGGAGACCACTGGGTGACATAGGTCGTCAGGTTCGAATAGGGGTTCACATTGAGTGTCCAAGATCCTATCGGTGTCCCTGAGTCCGCATAATCTACCTAAATCTTGGTAGGTTTAACAGGACGTGTATCCCAAACGGGATTAGCATCCTCTTCATCAGTAATTTCATAATCAGGATCAGAAATATCCTCTGAATCCTTCATATAGGACTCAGGGAACTCCTCCTCAATATCACTGAGCTCAGATTCAGAGTTCAGTTGGGCTTTTGCCCTTTTCCAGTCTAGTCGATATTGCCCGACTAGTAGCTCTTTTGCGCTGTGGTAAATTAATCGCGCCATCCGTGACAGGTTTGGTACTGTCCATCTCTATTGTTTTGGAGGAGTGTTTAGCCTTATATGAGGCCTTGCGGCCAGGCTGAAACAGCGCAGGTGTGAGTACAGATACACCTCCATATAGTACTCAGGGAAACTCCTCCTTAATATCCATGAGCTCAGATTTAGAGTTCAATTGGGCTTTTGCCCTTTTTCAAAGTCTAGTCGATTTTGCCCGACTAGTAGCTCTTTTGCGCGGTGGTAAATTAATCGCGCCATCCGTGACAGGTTTGGTACTGTCCATCTCTATTGTTTTGGAGGAGTGTTTAGCCTTATATGAGGCCTTGCGACCAGGCTGAAACAGCGCAGGTGTGAGTACAGGTACACCTCCATATAGAACTCGGGGAACTTCTCCTCAATATCAGTGAACTCGGATTCAGAGTTTAATTGGGCTTTTGCCCTTTTCCAAAGTCTAGTCGATTTTGCCCGACTAGTAGCTCTTTTGCGCGGTGCTAAATTAATCGCGCCATCCATGACAGGTATGATACTGTCCATCTCTATTGTTTTGGAGGAGTGTTTAGCCTTATATGAGGCCTTGCGGCCTGACACCAGGGCCTTATCATTGCTTTTGCCATGGAAGTGTCAATTAAAGCCTGCATGTCAGCAGGATCAGTAAAGCAGAAATTCAGCCTCATCTCCAGAGATACCTGGAGAGGCTTCTACATTAATCTGCATGTTTGCTGTAGACCCAGAAGGCACAGAAAGATCCTGTCAGACTGCATCATAAATATACAAACAATCCTAAAGGGATGAATAAAGCAAAATAATACCAAAAGGAAAGGGTTGAGTAACCCTCAAGTAAAAAATAAATAAATAACTAAACAGGATAAAGAAATGAAAGTACTCACAAAAGTGAAAAAATAAAATAAAATAGCAATTGTAATATAAAAACAAAGGAGCTGCCCAGCTGCCACTATAACTAAACCCCAACTTGGATTTCTGGCAGTTGGTGG